GTACAACCAAGCACCCCTAGGAGGTGTACTTCTACTATATGTCGTTCCATGGTCGGACAAGTTTCCAGCGCTGGACCAGACACCTGCGGTTATGTGGGGACTGATACTCTTAAGTGGCTTCCTTGCCGCGTTAATCAACCTGTCGCAATTCTTCATCATTGGTGGCTCAGGACCTCTCGAGAGTACCGTTGTCGGACATCTCAAGACTTGCCTTATCGTGGTCATTGGCGCTTTCTCGGGGGGGAAGGTCATTACGGATAAAGCTGCCTTTGGGATCTTACTTGCGCTGATCAGCATTTTCTCGTAAGTCACTAATGTCTCAAATGAGGAGATATGATGCTGATTGACTGCAGATACTCAGCAATAATGATGCGGCATACAAATTTGGCCAGTACGGTCAAAAAGTAGGTAATAAATCTACGATTTAGACAACCGCTCATCGAAGCAGAGCTTGAAAAGCTTGAAAATGGGGATATCAATAATCTAGAAATGTTTGTTGGGGGAGGGAAATACCCCACATACTGTGGAGGCGTTTGGGACTGCTATAGATTTCTCGAAAAACTGGCCGCATGTTTGGAAGCGGGCCTTGTGTCACCTGCTGTTTTGGACGTACGGCATCGGTGGTGAGAATCGGTGCATCTAACGATAAACATGTCCTTCATTATCGTTTAAACCCGAATTCAAATGCATTCGAACTGTTATATGGTCACAGCGAGGTTCTTGCAACATCGTCTCGAATTGGCTGTGCGCCTTTTAGGAGGCTCAAATCTCATCCGGCCACGCTGGATCCTCTCTCCTTCGAAAGACAGACACAAACCGTTTTCCCCCATTCCTCGTGACTTTCTTTCCTTCCTCAGTCTCCTCCCTGATACACCTAACCAGCATCGCCACCAGCCCTTTCTGCCCCCCCTCATCAACCCACTCTCCCTCTTTCCCCTCCTCCGGCAACTCAATTGTCTCAAACATGCCTTCCGTTCGGCCTTCTCCAGTCTCACCCCCCTCATCTTCTCCACCGACCCCGCTGTTTCCAAACGCCTCGAACCGACTCCTCATCCACTCTCCCAACTCTTCCACATCCGTAATCGTATATACGCAGCCCCCTGGCCTTAGCACGTATGCATACTCGGCGCACAGCGTGCCCGACACGATCCGCGCTTTATGCTTCCGTGCTTTGAAATGCGGATCCGGGAAACAGAGAAAGATGTGTGACAGCTGGCCGCGGGTGAAGAAGTTGGGGAGGAACTTCATGGTGTTGGCGCGGAGGCACGATATGTTCTGATACAGGCGCGGAGAGCGGTCGGCATACTGGGAGCGCAGAGCGGAGATACGATCCTCCACGTACTCGGTCACTTGGGTGCGGATCTCGAGCCCCAGTATCAGTTCGTCGGGCAGGAGGGGCGAGAGCGCGACGAGGAGACCGCCGAAGCCGCAACCGATATCTGCGACCGTTACGGGTTTGGTCAGGGGCTTGACCACCGCGTGATCTTTGGCGACTGATTGAGTGTCCGGTGCGACGAAAGCAGGGTAGTGGGAGGACCAGTCCATGAGGGCTGGGCTTGCGGGGCTAGGTGCACCATCTGATTAGCTGTCAGCGGTCGAGGTAGACATCGGGCAGGCGGGTTTACTATGTCAATCGGTGGTCGGAGAATGGGTTGGCGTGGGCTCGTTGCCGGTAGAATTTCTTCTTGGGGAGCTCGGCGTTGCCCTCTTCCTTGTGGGTTTTGCGGTAGTCCTCGCGCTTTTGACGCTTCCCTGCTGCCGTCATGGTGGCAGGTGTTGGGCTTTGTCGGGGCAGGACAAAAGAGCGGCCGGATTTGACAGCGATAGAAAGCCTAGGAGCATGGAAGGTTAGAAGGTTTGAAGTGTTGCGAAATGAGAGGGTCTTGGCGGTTCAGGAAGACAGAAATCTGCCCCCGGCTCAGTGTGGTCCTCACCCGAGGATACCGCATTTAGGTGCGGGCTAGGTGATAGGGTGTTAAATACAGCACCCCACCAGGGTGATCAGTACCCCAGCCGAATAAGCACGCTCACATTTCATCCTTTCACTCACTCTAGCCCCAAACGACTGCTTTGATTTGCCCTGACCGGCTGCAGTAGTACGCTTCACCTAGGAAATTCTCTGTTGTGATTTTCCTTAAGGCTGAGGACCGTTGCGTATATTTTTGGTAGCGATTCGAATCGAGCGCTAACTCTTGATCTATCTATCGCCTTTCGCAGCTTGATGGGGGGCTTATCATTATTATTAGTAGGTACAGAAGCGACACTCGATAGAACGTGTTCTAGTATACTTGCCGAGCTTCGCCAGCACGAGGGTGACAGAGATACCTGCACCCCTTAAAACTGGAAATTTGATGATGATTTCACAACGAAGAGCCCTAGCAGAGAGGTTTTGCGCTGTGACTTAAAGATTTCGATAACACTAATATACTGTTGCGTAAAATTTAATTCATAAAGAGGGTATTCGTTAAGTTATTCCAGCTGACGGGATTTCTTGGTGTGTGCAGGTATGTAGATCTCGAAGGATTCGCTATGATAGGCGGAACGGAGATAGACAGGGAGATGTCGCTGCCGCATTCTCCTTATATTATCAATATCGGCTGGTTAGTCCTCCCATAGCTTATAAGGAAGCAAGGCGTTATCTTGCTATAAGAATGGCTACGGATAGCTGGAAGGTGTACTAGGGATTCTATGAGACGGACCGCAGGCTCGAAGAGACGCTGAGATGTGATGCTGTATAGATGCCAACTTGCTCTGACAGGGAACCTCCAGGTGACTGTAGTAGGATTGTCTCAGGTCTGTGCATATCGTACGTAAAATTGTGGAGTGGGACGATGTTGTGGATGCAATGAACTAGCAGAGCTCAGTAGGTAGCGCTTTTAACAATTTCATATGAGAATCATTTCTTGCGTTATTTCTTTAGTTCCGGGTATGACTTGTAAAGCGCCGCGAGTGTTCCTGGTCCCGAATATAGCGATTTAAGGTGATGATGCTAGGTAATATAGATTAGCTTCTATCTATAAGTTCGTTATCTGCAAACAAGCTCCTTCGATCTTTTCGTAGTGCAAAAACAGCGTGGGATATGACGGGTGGCTCGCATCAGTTATGCAGTCTTTATTGATGTACTTTATTTACAGATCGTCAACTCCAGCGATTTATATGTGGCAATAGGCCGAGGCGTCAGATAAGCTCTTGCTGTTTCCAGCCCAATAGCACTTTCTAAGTCGTCAATTACCGCAGCGAATCGCTGCTGTATGTGCCGTGGTACTTCAAGAGTCGTGCCGGATGCTCATAGTGAGAGTTGCCAATTTCAGAATGAGGGATTCTAGAAGGAAGGATCTATTGGACATCCTTGCGCAAGCCCCCACCTAAAACAACCGTAAGCCATCCGAACGTCCCGATGGTGACGATGCTCCGGTTCGCATCCGTTTCAACGGAAACTGGTATTATTATTTCTTACGGAAATAATACGAATAAAGTCATGTTAGCATTTGGCCCCCAAGCATGCCAGCCACCCGTATCTGCCATCCACCTCATTTATTACTGTACCTAATACGCGACCCGGGGGAAGAATCAATCCATCCTTCTTGATTATTTCAACAAGTCATATAGTGGTGTGGTGGTTGAATGTTGATTGAAGACGGCTGTAACAGGCTAACAGCCCGCTAAGGTACCGTATGTGTGGAGAAAGGCGCGCAAGGCCCGTCCAGCCAATTGTGGCCCGTCCCATCCCCGGCACTCCCCCACCTTCTAATTTTGGACGCTATCCAAATGAGAAACGAGAAAAGTCAAATTTGACTCCTTAGGAACTGTGAGCGAGTAGGCACTTTCAGGGAGTACGCTCTTTGAGGGAGTGGGGACTTCAATGGAATAGGCACTTTCCGGCTTGTTTGTCGGGCCCTGAGCCTTGAATGTCCGAAGTGCATACGGTAATATTAGAAGCTCGAGCAACCGCAGTTGACTGTGCGGCAAGGCTTTCCCGCCCCTTTGCGCAGTGTTACTTGGGCATGTTGATGACATTAAAGGGCACATGCACGATACATAGACAGCGTATCAAAACGACCCCGGCTGACGGGAAGCGTTGAAAGATTCTACGGAAGCCTTGGCACTTTGCCTGCCTGCATATGTGTTTCAACCTGCTCACATTCTGGAAATCATTGGCTACATCCTGAAACAAACACGCAGAATTGATAAGCAAATGTAAGAGCTTTCAAAGGTCCGGACTTGGTGATTGGTATTCTCCCCATGATTGAGATGCTCCTAGTGGGGCATTCCTCTCAGGAGGTGCATGGGGCTTTCAAGCTGAGACCCTGGAACAAATGCTCCAGGATATTACTACTGTCGCTCCCCCTAACGCTGGAGCTGTCAACAAAGACCCTTGTACTACATGATCTACATCAACAGAACTCCCAAATAAAGACGCCAAGCCCAGCCGAGACCCGCCTTTCTTTCCTTGCGGTGACGACCTCATGACACTAGACTGGTGGTGTACGCTCATGGAGCAGTATACGGTTCTAGTCTTGCTTTGTTTCACAAGCCTTGTCAGCGCACGCAATCCCCAATGCCACACAAACGCGACGGCCGCTGTACAGCAGCTTAGTGGATGGAATTACCTAGGCTGTTATCACGATACCTGGAATGATCGATTGCTCAAGGCCTCAAGTGTAAAATTGTCGAACAACACAGTTGTAGGTTGTGCCAAGTTATGCTCTACTCAAGGGCACACGGTTTTCGGCGTTGAGGACAACCTGGAATGTTATTGCGACACCACTCTTCACCCGATGGCGAATACCTCGTTGTCGGACCAAGCGTATTGTAACAGTACCTGTTGCGGTGATGCTTCGGTATTATGCGGAGGCGTTTGGTACATCGGTGTCTACCAAATCTCTTCCAGTGGCCGCGACTTCACAACAAGAGATAGGATTGCTGTGGGCGTCAGCATCGGAGTTATGATGCTTCTAGCGGCCGTTCTCCTCGGTTGGAAATACTACAACAGACGCAGTATGAGCAAGTCTAAAAGCCTTCTTCCGCGCTTTGCATTATGGACCTGCAGCAATAGCGAATTTAAAGGGAAATTCAAGGTGGCAGACCGCAGTCCGTGGAGAAGGTTGTCCGGCCGGCTCCAAAATCCTTTACGACATTGGCAAAACGCAGTATGTTGGTAGCTTGTGATTGTTCGAGGACTTGCACTAACAAGAGTGTAGGGCAGTCACGACGAAGATTCACATTCAAATGTTACGAACGCCTTCAGGCAATGTGTGGCTTCCAACAGAGACTCACCAGTCATTGATGAGAAGCATCTACTACCGACCGACGATGCGGACCTCTTGATCAAGTAAGCAATATGTGCCCCTAAAATTCAGGCACAGTGCTAACGTGACTTATAGAGGACAGTGCGAAGATCTTCCAGAACTTCCAGGAGATAATCGGCAGCGCCAACCATACGAGGAGGTAAGAAACCAGGTTGGCGGAAAAGTCGAGGTGATTCAATCCACCGAATGTGTGATGTGACTAATAGCTTTTGGCATAGACTTTCAGCAAAGATATTCGAATAGCGATCGCAGGTGGACCGTATGCCCATGCGCGAGCACTGCTAGATACTCAATGTCAAAGCGGGAACTGGATCTCTCGGCGACTTGTCGAACGCTTAGGCAAAACCAGCGAAATTTTGGGCGTCAATAATCCTCCAAGCCTAAAGGCCGCCAGCGGTCACAGTATAACACCCTATGGCGTACTATCCCTTGACTGGAGATGGAATGAAACAGGAAATAGAGTGCATCGATGCGACTTCTACGTCTCTCCTGAGTCAGACCATCTTGATATTATCTTTGGGGCCGAGTACCTTGCAGCTGAGGACCTTGTCACCGTCCCTGTGTGCTCTTTCTCACCCCTGACGCAAGATAGAAAGGATACCGACGGTAACTTCACCCTCAGCTCGCTTCCTAAAGAACCAACATTTTCTGACGGTCTGATTCTAGCTCAGGAGGCCGAGAAAGCCAAGGCAAAGCAGCAGCAAGAGAAGAAGAAGGCTGAGGTTGAGCTCGAATAAAAGCATCTCGAAACAAGGAACAGCAGTAAAGCGGCCAGTCAAGTTAGTCGCGGGGCCAGCAGCAAGGCTAGCATACACGAAGCTGGTCGCTATTCAATAGACATGGCAAGCAATCGCAAGTGTTGGATGAAGCGTAGAGGGTATGGGTACTGTTGTGATATAGCACTCGATGTATGATACAGTCAAAGTTCTGCCGGTCTTTGTAGGAAGGCCTAGGGAGAAATTCACCGCGACAGTCCTTATAACCCGACCCTAAGCATTTGCTTCCCATCGCTCCGCATCTTTTGTTAGGGCTTTGGTAGTCTGAATAATTCTGTGGTCGAGGATGCGATCGGATTTGTAAGCTTCGATCAAGAATCACCCGTAGCTAATTGACCTGTACAACTCTGTTATTAGAGAAGAACTTAGGTCTCTCGAGAGCGCTCTTGGAACATGAAAGCCCCTTTTTCGAACATTGAGACTAACACCATTTGGAGAACCCCTGACCCATCTTACCCCTCTATGCTGTCCGCAAAACGATCGAACACAGATTCATTTCACCACGTCGTCTTTTATACCTCGTTCCTATAGCGAGGCTGGTCCATGGGTATTGGCTATTAAAGAGCATAGTCGACGCCTTGACTACTGTAGGCGTTCTATCTTGAGGGTTTTACGCTCAGACGCTTCCCCAGCCTGACCGCGGAAACCCTCCGCCCTAAGATTACACTCAATACCTAAGTATGGTACAACAAGATTTAGACGGTAGCAATTCTCGGGAGAGAGGCGGGCCGGTCTGAACAAGGGCCCCATGGACACTTGGCACACTCGTAACATTAGCGGCATGATCAAATCGTAGCCGAATAAGGTACATGTACTTCGGAACAAGTTCCTTAGTACGTGTCGAAAGTATTATGCTACGACCACCTCATGGGTTTGCGTTGCTCGATCGTCCGATGGGACTATTCCTGGTTGCTTCGGTCGCAACAATCGTCGAGAATTCTATAATAGACAATATCGTTCGTTACAAGACTGCCTCACCTCGTGTGAAAGAGCAGGGCGACGTCTCAATACTGTTGTCAAATGACAACCACGCATGTCGCAAGATACGTTCTAATGCAGGTGAGACAATTAAATTGCCATGGGGCTACCAATCAGGATACAGCCCATGTTGCTGCTATAACATGAACCAGCTGTCAAGACCTTTTTCTTGCATTGAATCAATACCGTTGTCTTACGATGGAAGGTTATGCAAAAATGGCTTCCTTGATGGGAGCCAATCCTGAAGTGGCTATTCTTCGTCGGTTTGGAGCGATGAACGCTCAAAATCTACTATATCTTCAAGCGGAACTAGTAGCGTTGGAAGATGACCTTCGATATTATGCTGACCAAGACTCTGCATCGGATATCCTCGATCGAAATCGTTATTCAGAGTGCTGGGACGATCTCAGCAGATCGGACGATAAAAGTAGTGGTAGTGACGAAAGAGCCGGACAACAATGGCGGACTATGCTCAGGATACGGGAAAAACTGAAAGAGTATAGTTCGTCAAAGCCGATCCAACGAATCTATTGTTTCTCAATCTCGATTTGTGGAAGCAGTACTGAGACATCACAGACGAAGCGCTTCTGCACCAGACGGCCCTCGCAGGTCTTCAGAAGCCCAACCCCAGAGATCTCTCCTTTCTCCAGCAATGGATGGAATCTGTCTCAATGGGCAATGTGCATCTGGTGGGCCAAGACAGTGATGTCTGGTCAAAGCCGGATAAATCAGACCTCATCGCTCTACAAGCTCGGCACGCCGACGATCCTCTTACGGCCTGGGTAACTAATACAGGGGTGCACTGGTGGCATCAGGTTGTTGGGAAATATCTGAGGGTACTGATTTCTCTCCCACGCTGAAATAAAACGTCATTAATGATCCGAGCTTTTTGATGCTACTCTACATTGGAAAAAGCTTGGCTACTATCTTTACTTACTACGCCTTTACAGCAACCAGAAGCCACGAATTGGTCCGCCAATACAGTCTCCTACTCACAAACTGGGCTCTCCCGCCTCCCGTCCCTCGTCGGTGTAGTTCTAGCTTCTCTACTCCCGATCGCCTCCATCGTTGTCCTGTACACAATCAGCTCTGATCTAGTACGCTTGATCGTGATTGGACTTTTCACGGCTGGCTTCTCAACTAGTCTGAAACTGGTGACGAATGCGAGACTAGTTGACTTGTTCACTGCTACTGCCGCGTAAGTACGTATCTGTCCAAAGAGTGAAGAATATGAAGGCTGATGGAGTGGGAAGCTTCACTGCTGTTCAGGTGGTTTTTGTGGGAACGAATGGGAGTTCAGGTGGAAACAATCATTGAAAAGATGGAAAGGGACTCTCAGGACATAGGAGAAATGTGCGGAAGATTCAGGAAAACCCAGCGACCTGATTGATGTCCTCCTTAGTCAATATATCGAGATAGACGAATCGTAGAACAATTGCTCTAGTATACACAATCAACCCGAAATTCCACGAGATATACTAAATCTTGTCAGACATGTAGATTCCGTGAACGGTCGCCGCATGATTCTTAAAATGCATCACACGGTTAAGCGTGACTGTCGCACATTCGGGATGGGGGAAAGGGCAGGGTTCGCGGGGCCGAAAAGGGCGAAGACGGTCGAAGTGCCGCTGCAACGAAGATTTACTGTCAAGGTTGTGGAGTCGTTCCTTCAAATGTAGGTCGGTATGATCGAGGCAGTAAAGGCAACAGTCGGGTTTATATCTTACAGGAAAGAGATAGGGAATCCAGGAGTCCGACTCAAAGTCGGACTTAACGGTATCTAACTGACGTTCTGCGTTATTTATGAGGACGGCAGAAGAGGAATAGACAGCTAGGGGAGCGAGCAAGGTCGACCAGGACTAGGGGAGGGCGATTTAAAAAAGGATGAATTCGAGGGCAAAAGTACACAAGAAGAGAAAGAGTGGAAGAAGAAGTTGAGAGTGGTAAGAAAGATGAGAAGAATAAGCTTGAGAGAGCGACGTTGATAATTGAGTGTCTTTCCTATCGTCGCCGCTTTTCCATGAAGGCTCTGCGTATGAATCTTAACCAGGCCATCAACTTATGTAGCCCGTATTGTAACGAACCGCCCACCCTAGACGGTGAAAGAGATACGTAATATTTTCTGATAAGAATACCAACCAGACAGCAATTTCCTCACCTTCAAGAAGGTGCAGTCACTCAGGATCATTCAGGCTCGCGTGACGGTCACCCGCGTCGCGCGAGAACAAAGATTTCTGTATTCTTGGCACCCGTTATCGATAAGCATACTCGTAGGGCCGATGCCAAGACATCAACATCCACCCGCCTTGGAATGGGAGAAATTTCTTTGGAGTGCGATACATAGCTATCCAGACAGGTCCCATGGCTCCTGCACAACCTCGTACCGCCGAATCATTCACCTACCCCCAGTCCTACTCCTTCCCACCCTTCTTCACCCTCCAACCCAACCTCCAAACCCGCCTCTCACAACTCCGCAAATGGTCCCGCCTAATCCAGCGCTACTGCCGACATCGCCACGTCTTCAAGCTTTCCCTAGTCGCCGCCCTCGACACGCCCTTGTTCAAGAACGCAGAACTGAGGAAGAGGTTGAGCGTGAACGATGCGTTGCAGGTGGTGGATTGGATGACGAGGGACGAGGGTGGTAGGAGGGCGGAGTGGATCGATGGAGGGGTGGAGGCGAAAGGGGGGACGACGTGGGTGTATTGGAAGAGGCCTGAGGAGTGGGCGGAGGTGATTGTTGGGTGGGTGGAGGACACTGGGCAGAAGAATACGGTGCTCACGCTTTATGAGTTGATGAACGGGGAGATGACTGTGGGACAGGGTATAGTACCTCGCGAGAAGAGGTCGAAGTCGAATGCTCACGGAATGCTAGATTTTCACGGCATGGACGCCGAACTGTTCCACAGATCGCTGGCCGTGTTGGTCAAACGGGGCAAAGCGCAGGTATTTGGAAGTGAAGATCAACAGGGAGTCAAATTTTTCTGAAGGATGTCTGCATTGAGTGCTGCTCTTGCAGCCTGAACGTGACCATCACCGAACACTTTCCCACGAAGTCGGGTCTGATATACAGACGTTCAGATTCGCCATCCATCTCTCTCGACATGCCAATAAAAAAGGGACTTGTGCTGTCACAAACGCTCCGCTCAGTCGTCCAAATGCCCACCATACGCTCAAGCCGTAAGTGTGATATCCTTTTCAGTCAAGTTATAAGAGTCACGCCATTGGTGCTTTTGCGACAGCGCAAGGTCCACTATCCAGTCGTGGCGGACAACGAGAGGGTTCTTGCCCAATCCGTCGATCATTTGCCGGAATTTCGGCCACAATTTCGCTTCTTCTGGAGTAGTACCACTGATAAGGTACACGTATCCGGGCGAACTAGCTTCGGAGTCGTCACCCTCTTCGTCCAAACCTGCTCGCAGCGTTGCCGTGAATCCAGCGCGAGCACGATACATGAGGCACTTGCCACCATTGACCTCCGCGATGGACTTGTATGTCTCAAAGCCGCCGTGAATGAGCTCGGTACAATAAATGGAGTACCCTCGAAGGAGCTGACCTTTGTTGCTCTTTGCTCGAACGAGGGAATCGCTGAGCTTGTAGCCCATTCGCTTTTCGCTCTCGGTGTCTTGCAGCAGATAATTCTCTGGCTCAAGGCGCTTGTTTTGTGAGAGGCAATCGTTTACAAAGTCGGTAGATAGGATAATGGGAGCGTGTGCCAGCGCGCAGATGAACTTTTGTGTGCGGAGGATATGAGGAGAAGCAAGATGAGTGCAACTGGCGACATCAGGGACGATCAGTATTCCCATCGCTCGAAGTCGTGCCTGAGTCATGTCAGTAATGCTCATAGCTGGTGAGCTGACCATTGTACTTACGCGCTCTTCGCCTTCCTTTTTGGCAGCACTTACCCACCCCTTGTATCCAGAGAGCGCCAAACGCATCGATGGAGGAGCAAGCCCCTTTGACTTCTTAGCCCTCTTCGTCGCCCT